AGAACTCCCTCTTAAACCCACCCCTCGGCTTTAATTATTTGATTTATTTTTGCTGCCAGGGTTGATCAATATTTAGAATCCCTCAATTGCACTAGGAGAAATGGTTATTGGTAGCTGAAATAAACAACCTGTGCAGGTAAAGCACGTGCCAAGAGAAATGATGCCTGGGATGCCATGGCTTACTTCTGGGTGTTGGTGGTCTGGCTAAATGGAAGACTAAATACTGCAAGACTATTGTGTGTGTCTTCACTAAATTAAAAGAAGAAATGATTTGGATATAAAACTATCTGCCAGGTTTTATTATGAATTTACTCCTCTACTCTCCTCAGCTGAATCTCTGTATTTGTATTATATCTCAACAATAATTATAAGCTCTTCCAGAACTGAAGAAGCCTGACTGGACCTCTCATTAGTCTCTGGCAGAATTCATTTCATTTCCTACTTGGTAAGTTCAATAATGGGAAAGGACAGACTTCCTTCTGTAAGAAACTGAGTAATAATAAAGACATGACATTTTAGAGAAAAATTTATAGCCCTAAATGCATATATTATAAAGAAAGGGGGCAACACGAAAGATTAAGAATAGAGTTTACTCAGAAATGATTTACTTCAGCAAAAAAAAAAATTGTAGAACTTTTATTAGTATGTCAACAAGATTCATTAGGACATATGCATATACGATAACATAATCAAGAAGAGATGAGGATCTCAACTCAGGAAAGACTGAATAAGTTTGAGAAACATAATTTTTAAATTAAGCATGTGATGAAAGCAGTGGGAAACACTAAAAAAAAAAATCTCCCCTTGGCAGCAAAATTTCATGAATACTACCTGTCTCCAACTTCTCTTGTCCTATTTTAAAATATACTTTAATTAGACTTGTACCTCTAATATTTCTACACTACCCCCCCTTATCCACACATACATACCTATAATTAAGTTTAAATTATACAGTAGATACAGTAAAAGATTACCAAAACATAATAAAATAGAACAATTATAACAAATAATGTAATGAAGTTATGCAAATGTGGTTTATCTTGCTCTCTGATAACTGAGATGGCTATTAAATGGTTAATGGGTAGTGAGCACACACAGTGTGGATACACGCTGGACGGAGTGTGACATCATGAGATTTCAACATACCATTCAGAATGGTGTGTAATTTAAAACTAATGAATTGTTCATTTCTGAAATTTTCCATTAAATATCTCTGATAACTGAGATGGCTATTAAATGGTTAATGGGTAGTGAGCACACACAGTGTGGATACACGCTGGACGGATTGCGACATCATGAGATTTCAAGATACCATTCAGAATGGTGTGTAATTTAAAACTTATGAATTGTTCATTTCTGAAATTTTCCATTAAATATTTTAGGACTATGGTTGACTAGGTAACTGAAACTGTGGAAAACGAAACTGCAGATATGGGGGGAACACTGAACTGAAATTCCTCTCATAAGATCCCCAGTAAAACCTCCATAGTAAAATCCAACAGTAAATCCATCTCATGTGACATACCAGAAGCATTAGACTTGGTTGATTATTCCCTTCTCTTTGATGCAGTTTCTCATTAGCTTCCAGGAGAACATATTCTCTTGATTTTCCTCCTACCCCATAGGATGCCCCTTAGTCTTGTCAGTTTTTACTCTTTTCCTGATCGTCGGTGGAATTCCTAAGGACTTGCTCCTTAACCCTTTTCTGTACCTACACTCATTTAGGAATCTCCTCCAGCTTCATGCCTTAAAATATTATCTTTATGCTGAAAATTCCTAAATGCATCTCTAGCCCAGTCTCCTCCCTGAACTCTGGACTCATATACACCCAATTGCCTCTTGACTGTTTAAAAGGCATTTCAAAAGCAACACATCTAAACTGATTTGCTGCTCTACCCTCAGCCTTTGCCATCTCAGCAGAAGATAACTCAATCCGGCTAGTTGCACTGGTCCAAAACCCTGGAGTATCAACAGTGTGAATGCCTATGAAACCATCACCACAGTCGAGATCTAAAAAAAGACCATCCCTAAAAGATCCCTGTGCAACTTTATAGTCCATTCTTCCCTCCATCCCCTACTCTATCCTTTCTTATTCCAGAAAACCTGAATTGGGTTTTTGCCTCTATAGATTAGCTTGCAGCTCATAAAAATGAGATTTCATATAACATTTACTTTTCTTTGTCTGGCTTCTTTTACTCAGCACAATGATTGTGAGATTCATTCATGTTGTGCGTATCAGTAGTTCATTACTTTTTTATTTTATGGTACTGAAAGGACATCAATAACAAGGAGATGGTAACAATAAGGCAATTACATAATTTTTTTCAAGACTATATTAAATTGAAATAATTTTCTTCTATATTCAAATCACACAGAGATTAAATAAGGCAAGTATTTTGCAGAGTCAGGAATAAATTGACTATTAAGTATCCCTGTTTACAAGAGCAGTTCCTATAACCCAGATTTCACAGGATTTATTGATGATGATATAGTGAAAGCCATCTTTGTATTTATGAAAATCCTAAACAATAATAATATAGTAATAGTAATAACAATAACAACAATAATAATAATATAATAATAATAATAAAAACCTTCTGTTGGTATCCTTGCCTTCTCAGTCCAACTGGGAGTTTGTTTGCTTATAGCACACTTCAAAGATACCACTTTGAAGCAGTTTCCATACAAATCAGTGCTCCTGGGCTGAATTGTTTCCTGGATTGGTCTCTTAATGGTTCCTAAAAAATGTCTTTGTTGGTCTTTGCTAAGTCTCTGAATCATACTTTGGGAGCTGAAAGAAATAAGGTACTCTGGTGTCAATGTCAACAGTGAACTGTCTAATCAAGAGTAATGCAGTACCATATCTTATTTATATATTATGCCTCACAGTATGCAAAGTAGTTTTACAGATATTATCTTATGGGGGCTCTCACCAGTCCTGTGATACAGGCAGAATGGCTGAAGTTATCCTCATCTTACATCGGAGAGGGGATATAAGGGAATTTTAGGGAATTAGAGAGGTTAAGCTATTCGTTCAAGATCACATAGCAAATAAGAGGGAAGGGCAGTTCCAGCCTTCACATCTTCTAACTTCAGTACTTTTTCTATCTCTTTCTCTTTTCTTGGTAATCATTTGATTTCTTTCCATAGATATGATAAATCATATTTTAAAAAATTAAGTCTTAGATGAAATCAATCAATTCTAAATCCAAGTTCATGCATGCCCAAGATGGTTCATTCCTTACCTAATTTTTAGTTTTTGGAACGAAAGAGTCTACATATTTCAATAGAGCCCATTTTATTGAGCAGAAACCAATCAAGTTCTCAGAAGAGAGGCCAAGGATGAAAGAAAGGGCATGTCATGTTTTCTCTGTTGTATAAATTCAGTTTATTCTCAAAGACTTACCTGTTCCATGGTTTAGGTGACGGTTCATATTATTCCAAAAAACAGGGAAACTTGCCAAGAGAGCTAGTGATATAATAATTACTAGTTTCGACACAACTACAAAGTTTATCTGCGTTATTCTGACTTTTCTTTCTATTCCTTTTCCAGTTTTTAGGTAGTAGTATTATCCCTGTGTGACCAATGCTCAACTGCTATTACAGATAGTAAAACATTTGACAGTCATTCACCCTAAAACACTAAATAATTATTTTATGCAGAAATAATTCTTTTTAAAATGAGAAACTCAGATACTACAATGATAAATGCATAGAAAGAAATGTCTAACTGTAGATTTTAAGGCATCCACTAGGGATAGTTTGGGAATATTGAAATCTCAGAACCTTTTAAAACCCATCATATTGGCCTTCCTATGTATAGAATTGACCTAGTCACAGATACTATGTAGAATATAAGGAGATGTCCAATTAGTAATTGTTATCAAAAAGAAACTTTTACCTGTTGCTTAAATTCAAAATCAAAATCTTATAAGACAGAGGAAATGGAGTATGGTATTAGTTCTCCTACCTCAGATATCTTTTTAGAAGCCAAGAAGGGGCTCGTCGAGGTATTTTCACTAAAAAAGAGAATATACTATAAAATTTCTGAACTTAGATTTTTAAGATTAGCAAAACTTAATTTTTTACTTTCTCAACAATTACCTCATTCATATATATAATGGCTAGCTTAATTGAGCTTATCTTTAATTAATCTGCCATTGTTTCTCTCTGACATATGAAATATGTTAGTACAAATTTCCCTTATACGCCCTTTAATTAAACTGTTTCAATAGAATAGCAAACAGTAGGAAATAGGTATCCAATAATTGTCAAACAATTCAGAACTAGATAGATGGATGTTAGGATCTATGAAGGATATCTACATGTATAGTAGGGTGACTAACTCTTTAGAAGGCCAACCCAGGACACAACCGTACCAGACCAAAAAAATAGTACAACATGTAATAAATAATTATATGCAAATGTTATTATGATTTTAACATGAAATATAAAATAGGTGTTTATTTAAAATTACATATTATTCAGTATTATTTACTTTTATGTTACATAAATGCTTTTAGGCAAAACAAAAGGACTTGTTAAAGTGATAAGTAGTAATTAATAGAACGAATTAAATAAATATTATGTGAGAATAATCTAACGATATATTTGTTTCTCCTCTGATACAGATTTTAACTCTTCATAGATATTTAAATTTTATAAGCCATATTATTGTGTTATCTTAAGATACATAAATAAAAGACTCTCTAAAAGTTGAATGTCAACACAATGGGGCAATTAAATAGATATTGCCCATATTTAATAAAATTTAACATGACATGTTTCTTTATGTCCCATGATAAAGTAAGATATTTTTGCTCTGTGTTTCCTTTCCCATTAATACTCTCTGAATTGCCCGCAGCCTTTAGAATATCCTTCTCTTCTTTTATGTAGTGGTAAAACTGAATACATTCAAAATCAAATTCCTTTGACCTGCAGGTCTCCTTTTATCAAACTCAATTACATTGATCCCTGGTGGCAGTCGAATACAATGACATCAAGTTAGATATCAAGTTATATCTATCCCCTTTGTACCAAAACTAAAGTAGAGAATGCAGGAGACATAACTTAGCAGCTACACCATGTAAGTAACACTCTATAGGTTTGAGTATATGTAAACCCAGTATGTCAATATTTTAGGATAATTTTCAAATAACAAATGCAATCTTAGACTTTGCATTAATGGAAATCTAGTATCTAAAAAGAAGCAAATGAGAATGATGATTTATTGAATACTCATTAGATGACATTTGCTATACTGTGTTCAGTTTCATTCAAGCTTGAATAGTGACAGAAAAGAGTAAACTAATGTGGTAGAGGGCCTTGAATCATGCTGTATCATTATGGGTGGTTGAAAGGAATGGAAGTAAAGTTTCAGGGAAATAAGTAATAGCTTTTAAAAAATACTTGTCTATTATGTGGAAGAAGCATTACATTTGTTCTCATTATTTTAAGAAGAATTAGGGAAAATGAGTCAGTCAGAAATGTTTACCTTTAAGGTTCCTTCACTCTATGATTTACATTATTAAAGAGGTGGATGAAACTTACAGGGACACGTGGTTTTAACTCAACACAAAAAGGACTTTCTCAATGCTATACTCTGGCAATGGAATGAACTGTATTGCAATTTGTTGAACTACTTGTCACCAAGTATAGTCAATCAAAGGTTGGATGAGTCTATATCCTGTAATGAGGAGGAGGGGAGACTAGAGGACTCTCAAGGTTTCTCTCTGCTTTAAGATTCAGCGAGATAGGAGTGAGAAGATTGAACAATCAGATAAATATTTTCTTTTTTTTTTGACTGGGTAACATTATAAAAAAGCAAATTGACATATAATGAATACTACTGGCTATCTCTAAATATTTCTAGAGCTATAAAGAAAAGTAAAAATTTGAGATTCAAAATTTCTGGGAAGGTAGATTGTTCTTTGCCTTTCCAATTTGAAGATAATTTTCTAGTTTTTTATAAGTAGATCTTGACCATACGCATATTATTAAATAGCTCATGTACACATAATAGGTGACCATGCATTACTGTCTATATTCCCATTTACTCACCCAAACTTTGGTGAGGAAATTGTCTTCTGATGTAATCAAATATACAATCATCTGATTCGTTTGGCCTTGTTTCTAAAAAATATAGTAAAAGATCATTAGTAGCTTAAGAACAATTCGATGACTCTTACTTTTCATATTTTTATCTTTTTCTAAATGAAAAATGCTAGCAAATAACATATAAAGAGTAGTTTAGCTCAATTAAATTAATACAAACAGTTGTTAAATCTTATAAAGTTTTGTTGCATTTTTGCTATTTATAGCAAAACTCTAAAAAATATTCATCCCCTTGGATCAGCAATTCCTTTGTAAGATTCTATTATAAATAAATAATTAAGAGTATACACAAATGGGGAGAACTTTAACTTAAAGGTCTTCATTGTTGTTTACAAGAGAAAAAAGTAAACAAAGTTTAACAATGGGGGTTGCTAAATAAGTTAAGATTCACTAAGTCAATGGAATACTTTGTCACCGTTTATTAACACGTAAAGAAGTTAATAATATACTGTAATTTTAAATGAAAACATAGGCTGCAAAACCAGAACTTGTTTACTCATTTGTCTCTCCCTATTAAAAGATGAGCTCCTAGGGGAAGAAATGATATAACATACTTCTTAATGTCCCTAAACACAAAGCGCAGTAGCAACCTCAAAATTGTGACAGAAAAAAAGTGTTTGTTGGGTAAATGAATTAATTGTTTGTAAGAGGTGGAAGCAGAACATTACCTTTTACATCAGAATTTGATTCTTCATGTCTGTGCATTAAATGTTCTTTATCACAAACCTAATGGAACACAGAACCAGAAGAAAAACAATACTATGTTATAAACATGAAAATGTGATTTATGGTAGTTTCTAACATTTCTCATTTTACTCTCATAGTTTTAGGATGGATAAAATAATCTCTTAAATCAGAACCTTCTAAGACCTTTCACAACACTACTTTTCTCCCATAGCAATGAATAGAAGATAATATCGATATTATATTTTGGCATAAAAAGAAGTTTAAAAATTTTTTCACTTCATATAGAACTTATTATGATGAGAGACAAACATGTAGTTTATAATCTCACTTACTGAAATGAGAAAAGTTAAGATGTAGAGAGATAAGTGTGTGAAATGGGTGCAAATATATAAAATTTTATGAAAGTGCATAAGCAATTATAAAATTGTGCTTATACAGAAAAGATGGAAAATATTTTCTTGTGGCTTCTGAAGAAGTCTAGAGTAAGGAAGAGCATACATGACATTGTTTTGTCTTGCAAGGAGTTGCCAATGTGACCCAGACAGACTTTAAAAGACACGAACACTGTAGAATTGTGACTGTGAATCTTGAGTAGTCTACAAATCATTATGTGATCATGAAAACATTGTAAATGCAACCAAACTTTTGTTTCTGCATCTATAGTATGTAGATATTATAAAGACTTTCCCAAAAGGGGCTGAGAAAGTAAAAAAGAATTGAAAACATTTTTGCCAAGATATAATGCATAGCAACTCATGATAAAAAGTAGAATATGAAATAGAGTTGAAAGCGAAAATCTCTTTGTAGATAAAATTGGCAGCAAAAAAAATGGACATAATCAGTGTAAAAATGGGAAGAAATGTAAAAATCAAAGGATTACTAGAGGGAAAGACAGAAAAGGAAATATTCTAGAAAAAATTACACAACGTTAAAAATAGCAATATTATATAATCACTTGAATTTGGAGAGACAGGGGTGAAATTAAGCTAAAGAAAATTCACTTATAAGACTTGATTCAATGAACTCTTAATGGTATTTTTAGTCCTGTTCCCTTGACTGAAATGATGTTGTGAACCATAATAAACGATTACATTTATCCCACAGAACACCACCAGGCCAATGTCCTTATGAATGTGACCTACATATTCAACTGCAGTAATCTATAACTGTCTTTGCTGAAAATGTTCAAAATTAATTATTGAAAGTGTCTTGGTAGGAAATGAAGTTAACCAAAACATTTAATAAATAATTTACTACTATTGTTTTAGGATGTATTGATGTCTTACAAGCAAACTGTTAAAATAAGAAATAGTCCAAGAGCATGAATTTAAGTTGTCCTCAGGCATTAACCTCAGTTAAGATGACATTGCTTACTCTTTTTGCCAAAGATTATTAGAAAATAAATTTCAGATAAATGACTAAGAACTCCTATTAGTTTATTGAATGTTTAGAATACATGCAACTTTCTGAAATGACCAAATGACGAGATTGTTTTCTATTTGTAAAATCCAACATTAAAAATAAATTATGGTTTCATAACATCCTTTAAAGCTCCCACCAAGAAAGATGAAAAACATGAATATTTAATATAAAAGAATTTATTATATGTTACATGAAATATAGTTTGGGTAGATGAGGAAAACCACTATGTGAGCATGTTTATGAGAACTAAATAAATATGTATCTCACAATATCTATATACAAAAAAAATTAAAAACACCCCCAAACAAATCTACTTTGGTTGTTGGATTCTGTACATAACTTAAGACATCAAGGTCAATGAGAGAGTTTGTTTACCAATCTTGGTCCTCCCCCAAGCATACTCATATTGTTTAGATTGCATAATTTACAAACAGAAAATTAGATATCAATATCAAAATACACAATATTATTGTAACAATATGCTTTTAAAAATATAATTAAAAAATTTATGAGGAATGCTAATGTAGAAGGGGGCACACACAAAGGACTGCATGCACACTGGTAAAATCTGAACAAGCTCTGGATTGTGTCAATGTCAATTTCATGGTGACACAGTAGGATAATGCATGCAGTATGCTATCATTGAGGAAAGAGAAGTAAAGGACGCAGGGAACCATCTGTATATTTATTTTTTATAACTACTGTCAATCTATAATTATTTCAAAATAAAAAGTTAAAAAAATGAAATTGAGGGAGGAAGAAAAGAATAATTTCAAAACTTCTTGGGAAACTAGATTCTGTTCATTCAATCCACACTTGGCAGATGACAGTGTATTTGGTGTTCAGTATGTGCTGAGCTTATTCCTGCCAACTTAGAATCTGATGCGTGATTGACATTGTTAACACAGGAAATATTTGTAAAACAACTTCTGATATTTTTATCTGTTTGAATATTTGCATAGATATCTTCTGATCTTCTGAGTCTGGTATTCAGGTCTTCTCCAACTTCTGGGTTTTCTATAGGTAACAGAAGCTTAAAGATTGATTGATTGGCACCAAAGATGAATTGTTTGGATCCCATCCACTCGGGATATCACTTCCTGTGTGTGTGGCAGGCCTGTTTCTTAAGTAGACATTTCCTCTGAAGAACCTCTCCTCCTCCTCCTACCCCTTCTGGGGCTTGTTACGGTGATTTACTTGGTTGTTTCTTTAATAACTGGCTGGATTACTTTCGTGAAGCCCATCCTCAGGTAGTGTCAAGCCTCTGATTTTGCTCCTCAGGGTGCAGACTTGGGTGTAGCCATATTCACCCTGGGATGGTGGTGGTTTTGGCAGGACTGTCTTTGAACTGTTTCTTTGTTTTCAATAATGCCCTGGGGCATAAATTGTTCTAGAGACAAATTTAATCAAGTCTGGGCACTTTGGAAGGGAAAGTTCCTGAGGTCAGTGCCTGAGATTTGTCCTGACCCCACGAGGGCTCCTCCCAGTTGTCTCTTTACCTCATTCTCCTTGGAAACTAGTCCACCTACAGTTTAGCTTATATTTCCAATGAATCTACCAATCTCTTCTCAATTACCTTTTACCATACTTGCACTGTTTTTGAGAAGGCCTTTAGACTTGAATTTCTCCAGGATCTGTTGCAAATTAAGTCACTTCTTTGGGAAGAGATTAGGAGCTATCTGTTTTATTTGGTTCTCCCCCAAGGCCAAGATTCTGTTCTGAGCATCTCTGAAGCTGGGGGTGGGGACAAGGGCATTCTCTCAGTTATACTCCACTTTAGGAGCTGAGCTGTAGGTGGAAAGAGGGCAGTAGTCTTACAGCTTCTCTATTTGCTTCTCCCAGTGTAGAACCACCACTTGACAGGCCAAGGCAAGGGCGATTAGGGCCAAAAATATTCTCAGTGCTGTACCATACAAGGTAGAACCTCCTTCTCATGAATGGGGTCTGAGTAGAAGAAGAGAGCCCCATTTCTGGGCTGTACTCACATGGAATGTACCTTCAACAATAGGTAGCTGGAGGCAAGATAAGAAATATGATGCCTTGCCCTTCCCAGGAAGACAGCCCTATGACTGGTATCTGTGGGGAGAGGGGATCCTATAATCCTGGCTGCACTAGTCCAGAGTGTGGGTTGCAGTGTCATTGAGCTGGGAGGGGGAAGAGTGTGTGTGTTGGGGGGGTATCCCAAGGCACTCACTTTTTTTTTTTTTAAACTAGGCTGTAGTAGATTTTTATGAATACATTTTTTTTTTTTTTTTTCATTTGCTGTATGACCTTAGGACCATTTCCAGATACTTTAAATGTTTTTTTTTTTTTTTATTTTTTTAATAATTTTCACCAACTTTTGCTAGTGAAAGGGTTTGTAGAGCTCCTCATGCTTTCATGGTGGAAGCTGATCTCCCAGCACCATTTATTTTATACTCCTGTATTCCATTTAAGTTTTCTTAGTATTAATTTATTTCTTGCTGCTATCCTGGATGCCTCAAATACTTTTCTGAGTAAGGTAAGTAATAAGTGAAATTTAGAGATAACACCTTAATAAGAGCTACCTTTCATCTGTCAAGGTTCATTTGTGTTTTTATAAATAGTAAATAATATAAGCAAAATTTTAATTACTAACTCTTCCTGAGGAAAAAGTTGGAGTATAAGACGTGTAAGAGGAAATAACTTGCTATTCTCTTGCAATCATTTTTTTTCAAAAGCTGTTAACTACCAGATCAATGAATATTTACCTCTTGCCCTTCTCTGGTATCTTGATGGCTTGCTATGGTAGAATCTCTTTCCTTCTTTGTTTTCAGATGTTTTTTCTTGCTTTTTATCTAGGCAAAAGAATCATATTTAATGAACACATTAAAGTAGTATATATGCAGACATATAAAACTATCTTGAGATTTTCACTTCTAGGAAGATGAAGTACTTTTCCTATTCTTCTCACTAAGTACAACTAAAAATCTTAGATATTATATACAAAATTAACACAAGAGGCTTTAAAAGGTGGAAAGAAGGCAAACTGGTAAGGGAGCCT